CTAATTAAATTAATGTAACAAGAGATTAAAATAAAATACCAATAAGATTTAAAATATAAAATGATGTGATAATAATATAAATTGATTGGTAAATTAAAAAATGATAAAATTTAAACTAAAATGATGCGATAATAATGTAAAATAATTGAATAAAATTATAAATAATTACTATTGAATAAAAATATAAGAAATATTAGAAAAGTAAAAATAAAAGAAAAGTTTAAATAAATATTACTGTGCTAAAAATATAATGTGATATAATTGATGAAAAATAAAATGATAACAATATTTTATAAAAATAATATATTACTTTCAAAATTTATTAATCAAATATAATAAAATATAGATTTTCTCTTATATAAAAATTTTTAATTATATTTTTTATTTTTATAAAAATAAAAATACTTTTCTAATTACAAAGTAAATTAATTAATTTTTTATATAGTGACAATTAGAAATAATACAATAACATTAAAATTTATTAATTAAATATATAGTTAAATTTCTCTATAATTATTACTCTTGAAAAAGCAAAATTTAGTAATTATAAAAAGGATGTGATTATAAAGAAAAGCAAAATAAGATAATTATAAAGAGATATAATTATAAGTAAATATAATTATAGAGATTTAACTATAATAAAATATAAATTTTTCTCTTTATATAAAGATTTTCAATTTTATTAATAAATATTTTTTATTTTTATATTAAAATAAAGATAATATCATATATATTTTTTCAGATTAAATCTAAAAAATATATATTAAAATATGTGATATTATCTTTATTTTAATATAAAAATAAAAAATATTTATTAATAAAATTAAAAATCTTTATATAAAAAATTCACATTTTAATATATTTAATTAATAAATTTTGATATCATTACATTATTATAAATATTTAATTATAAAAAATTAATTAACTTATTTTATAATTAGAAAAAATTTATATTAAAATATAAATTATTATTTGTATTTTTGTATAAAAATAAAAAATCTTGATTAATAAAATTAAAATTTTTATATAAAAAAAATTTATTAATATAATACAATAAATAAATATTATAAATATTAATTATATTTTTAATATAAAATTTAATTAATATAAAAATAATAAAATTTTAATTATATATTTTTATATTTTAAAGAAATTTATTTATTTAATATTTTAATTTAAGAGTAATAAATTAAATAATTTTTTTTGAATTATATATATAATAAATATATTTTTATTTAATTTATTATAAATTTTAATATATTATAATTAATAAAATTATATAAAAATTTTTATTTTAATATAAATAATTAACAAAATTATAAAATTATATATACAAGCAATTTATTAATAAAATATAATAAAAAATTAAAAGTTTATATAAAAGTTTTTAATTTAATTAATATTTTTAAGAATACTTACTAAAATTTTTTTATTAAATTATATATTAATTATTAATTAAAGTTTGATATTTTAGTTACTAATAGTTTACTATACTTTATTACTAGAAATTTCAATAAGCATTCTTAATTTTTATATATTTTTTAGATTTTATTTGATAAAATTGTTCTAATTACAAAATTATTGTAAATATTTTTTATAATTAATTTTATATTTTAATTATAAAAATTGTTATAATAACTTTGTAATTAGAATAATTTTATCAAGTTAAATCTAAATAATTCAGAAAAAATATATTTTAAAATATAATTTATAATTTTTGTTTTAATATAAATATAAAAAATTTTCATTAATAAATTGAAAATTTTATATAAAAAAAAACTTTAACTTTTATTATATTTTATTAATAAAATAAAATTATATATAAGATTTTATAATGTTATTAGTCACTATATATTTATATTTATATTTATATTTAGTTTAATAATATTAATTAAAACTTATTTTGAGCTAAATTTTACTTTATTTTTTAAACTTAAAATAGCTTTATAAAAACTTATTACACAAAATAAATTAAAATATTTTTAATAATTAAGCTTTTTTTTGAAATTATAATTTTCATATAAATTTTATTCTTAAAAAATAATTATTTAAATTAAATTATTTATAAATTATTAATATTTTTAAATCAAATTTGTTTATTAATATGCACAAATTTTTGTATTTATAAAAATTATATTAATTTAGTAAAGTTTTTCATTAAAAATTTCAAGCTAAAATTAATTTTTTATATATATAATATTTTTATTCCTAAAATTATTATTATTAATAATATTATATATTTAATCATTACTTTTTATTTCAAAATAATCAAAGTGTAAAAATAAAATAGTTTAGAGACCAGTCAATATTATGTAATAACTTAAATATTATCCAGATTTAAACGTAAATTAAAATTTGGATTTGGATTGACATAATTATAATTTGTTTCAAGAATTAATTTGCTATATATCGAGTTACACTATATTAAGAACACAAAATTGTGTAACAACATTTTGATGCCAAGCTTTTATAGGTAACGATAACTACATGTATAATATTACAAATTATTTTGTTCATCATCAACGGCCTATATAAGCTCATATACAAACTATTCCCACTCACGAACACACATCATCAACAATGCCGCATGACGTTAAACAAAAAGACGATAAATGTCATAAAGAAGCTTGTGAAATACAAACATGTCTCTCTCAACATAACTATAATGAACAAAAATGCGAAGACGTGATCAATAAATTTCGAGAATGTTGTTATAAACTGAGTGAGATTGGCGGACAGAGTGTTTCTTGTTCTGGTGTAGTGCGAAAGAAGAAACAAGTAAACATTGAAGAATGAGTGACGAGGATAAATAATTGGACATTTATTGTTCCAAAATGAACATAATAAATCGTGGTTTTTAATTGGTTTAATTTATGTTTGTTGTTTGTTATTACTGTTGTCGCTGTAATTCACCCTCTCCCGAATAGTATCAAATGACCACTGTAACAATGCTTTGATGTTGTTTTCTTAAACTGGACAACAGGCGATAGGAATTTTTAATATATTATCGTTATCTATAATTAAGATTGTCTAAAGAAATTTTCTCTGCTTAAAAGTACCGTAAATGGCTATATAAAAGACCCCGGGGTCTAATTACACCGAATGCGAACATCCACATAATTTTTCTACTTTTAAAGAATGAATAAACCTGGTTTTATTGAATTTGCTGTGTTAATAACCGAGATTTTTGCACCGGGTACAGGGGTCTACTATTAGTGATCTTTATATGGTCATTGGTAATATTACCAGTTAGATTTTGTATTTAAATGTATAGTCGTTACGAAAGTAATGCCAGATTTATAAATTTATAATAGAATATATATGTCATGAGTCGGAACCGGATTTGTGTTGATTCTGAATCAACCTAGGTTGATCCAGGATTCCGTATCAACG